TTAGTGGTCCTCTCCCACCTCCTTAGTGGTCCTCCCTCTCCCCAGCCCCTTAGTGGTTCTTCCCCCCTTCCTTAGTGGTCCTTCCCCTCCTCCCCCCCCCCTTGGTGGTCCTGCCTCCCTGTTTAACCTCCTACCTATGTAACGTGAGCACTTCCTGTCAGTCCACCGGCGGCCATGTACAGGAAACAGAAGTTCCTGTACCGCGGTCTGCACCGCCCGGTCACGCTACATTGAGAGACCGGCAGGAGGGAGCGCTGTGCACTTCCCTCCTGCCGTTCACTGAAGTCTGGCACCCCTCGGGCAAGTGCGCCCAAGGCGACTGCCTAAGTCACCTATAGGACGTGCGGGCCCTGCGTTGGAGGCCTTAGGTTTTGGACCCGTTTGGCTGCAGTGGATTAGGGCCATATACTCACAACCCACTGCTCGAGTTAAAGTGAACGGCTTATTATCCTCACCACCACTGCCCATTACCAACGGTACCCGTCAGGGCTGCCCCCTGTCGCCCCTACTGTTTATTTTGTTGGAACCACTACTTCAAGCAGTGCGCAAAAACACAGATATCAGGGGGATACAAGTGGGTTCACAGGAATTCAGGGTATCCGCTTTTGCGGACGATTTACTTTTCACAATCACCAATCCAAATGTCACCCTCCCGCATTTGGTAGAAGAAATGACCTGCTATAGCTCATTGGCTAAATTTAAAATGAACGCAGACAAATGTGAAATACTAAACCTCATGTTACAAGATGGGGAAGCTGAGCAATTAAAAAGGAACTTCCGCTTCCAGTGGGCCCCTAAATCAATAAAATACTTAGGAGTTAACATCCCCGCAAATCCTGGAGCTCTATATACCCTAAACTTCCCCCGATGGCTGACCGCCATACAGGCAGTTATGCAGACATGGGACAAACCCTATCTCAGATGGATGGAATGGGTCAATGATATATCGATGAACGTTCTCGCATTCTGTATCTGTTGAACACCATACCCATACATCTCCCTAGACAGTTCTTCAGAACCATTCAAACAATGTTCATAAGGTTCATTTGTGCATGGAAGAGACCACGCTTAGCATATCACATTATCACGTGCCCTAAACATAAGGAAGGGTTGGGACTTACCAACATCCTCCATTACTACTATGCAGTTCTGGACTGGTGCATACAGCCCTCCCCCAAACTCTGGATCCACATTGAGCAGTCCTCCGCACACACCCCGCTACAGGTGCTCCCGTGGGCAGTCACAGGCTCAAGGGAATACCCGATACCACAACACCCGACAATTGTAGCAATGATCTCTGTTTGGTCCAAAATAGCCCACATACTTGAAATTTCTCCCACTATCTCACCGAGATATCCCATCTCACACAATGCCCTATTCCCATTTCCTTAAAGCCCTCGTTCCAGAGGGTGCACTCAGGAGTTTCTACAGACTCTATAGGCAGTTAATACCTATATTTAGCTGCATGTTGAGTACACAGATGACAAGATAATATGTTGCACATCATGAAAACCAGTTAGTTCATAGTGCTCTCGCCTCAGCTGCGAAGCCTTCCTACTGTCTATCATGCAAGAACCTTTCTTGACCATCTGTATAATTGATATACCGATTGTAGGTTTCTTACCTGATTATGTTTTATTGCATATCCTTAAAGGACCACTATAGTGCCAGGAAAACATACTTGTTTTCCTGGCACTATAGTGCCCTGAGGGTGCTCCCACCCTCAGGGTCCCCCTCCCGCCCGGCTCTGGAGGGGGGAAAGGGGTAAAAACTTACCTTTTTCCAGCGCTGGGCGGGTAGCTCTCCTCCTCCAATCCTCCTCCTCTCCGTCCATTCGGCTGAATGCGCACGTGCGGCAAGAGCTGTGCGCGCATTCAGCCAGTCCATAGGAATGCATTCACAATGCTTTCCTATGGACGCTGGCGTGCTCCACGCAAGCACCTCTAGCGGCTGTCAATGAGACAGCCGCTAGAGGCTTTGGGGGAAGGCTTAACCCATTTATAAACATAGCAATTTCTATGAAACTGCTATGTTTATAAAATAATGGGTTAACCCTAGCTGGACCTGGCATCTAGACCACTTCATTAAGCTGAAGTGGTCTGGGTGCCTAGAGTGGTCCTTTAAACCGACATGTACACAGTGGACTGTATGCCACCATATGATTGTACTTTTGTTATGATTACATATGTCTAATTTTTTCTATCAATAAAACAAAATTAAATCTAAAATAAAAAAAAACAATTTGCGGAGCAGATTTTTCCAAACGTGGCATTTAATCAGATTTTTTATTTTTTCAGTATATAAAAGACAAATTACTATTTGGAGTTCGTACGTTGTACAAACAGATTTTTGAAAATGCGTGCTTAACACATGATACCTTCACGTATATATGAGGAGGTGACTTGCATTGACAGCCATGTTTGATTTCGTTATACAGCCATGCATATCTGAGGAGTCTGGAATGCCCGATACTACCAAAAACTGTATTAGGTCTATTCCGTGATGTGGCTGCATATGTGATGGATTCCTGTATCACTCTTACCTGCACTTCATACATTTCGAAGTGGAGTAATGCACTTGCAAGCAAAATAAGTTTCTGTTATAGTTTGCTACAGGTGTGAGCAGGGAAGTGGCAGAAAATAATTCATGCAACAAAATGTAAAAGTGTATGTGCCCAGGCAGGGTAGTTAGACTACTGCTTGTTTGTGTATAGTGAAGCAAATATAGTTAGTTATATGTGATTTAAAAAAGTGGATCTTAATGCTGGCGATAGTGTTGTATTAATTTGGGGAAATGAGCAGAGAGGGATTGTTATTCTTAACATTATTATGTGAATATGTAAGTGTGTCTGTGTGTGAGTATGTGTGGGGAGTGTGTATAACAGCACGTATGAGAGAATAGTGGGCATCATTGTCCATACCTGTATTGTGCGAATGAATTGTCTGCAAACTGCAAATATACCAGAGTGTAACACCTGTTCTTGCAGGTGTGTAATTATAATAAAGTGTATTCATTTGTGAACTGCTATTGTCCCTGTGTTTGTCTGTGTTGTGTTGTCATAACAAAGACAAGAATGTTCAGGGTGCGCCTAGGAAATGCCTTAATGCAGAGCCGACATGTCATCCCATCCACTATTTAGCTCACTTTTGCATTCGCTTGGGTTAGTTTGTTATGCTAAATAAACAGTTCTGAAAGTTTTTTGGGATAGACATGGTTTTCCTGAAGCAAACCTTTGCATTTTTACCTAAATTTTTAAATCAGTGTTTTTTTAAGTAAAGCATAGATTCATCAATTTTATCTGGGTGCATACTCTAAAGTTATGTGCTGCGCGCTCCTCTGAATATGTAAGATGGCTGCTGGCGCTGAGCTTGATACTGCTGATTTATTAGATTTTACTCAAAGTAACACTCCATGCACCATAACTACTACAGCCCGCTGTCCTGGCACTTTCCCTGTGTCAGCCTATAGACCATTGATTTCCAATGCCTTGATTTGTTTGGTGAAATAATCAGATTTTCCTGCAAAGAGAATACAAACGCCAGGATGCAGATGTGGATACCTGGTTAAAACCAGGTTACTTGTAAAAATTATTCTAAAACACTTTGACAAATTACACTGGGAGCGTACCAGGACCATGTAGTGGTTATGGTGATTAAAGTGTTCTTTTAACTTTCAATTCTTTAATCATTGGACTATTGTCTGGATGCAGTCAAGGTGGTACTGTCCTGCATGTACTATACTCATCAGAAATACATAAATTATTATGCGGTAAGCCTCTGATCAGTACAGGACAGTGATTAATTATCTAAGTCAAATATGTGATACACTGATGGGGCAATAAAGATAAGCAGGGAGAGATGAGAAAGACTATGTTGGGAGGTGATGAATAGGCTACTGGAGGCTGCAAGGGGAGTGGGACAAACTGTGTGTTTAACTACACAGAGCTTATAAATACTGATGCTAATGCAGGTCACTGTGTCGGTGTGAGTATCTTGTTTCACAGTGTGAATGCATGTGATTGTGTGTTTTTTGCTTTATCGGTGTATGTTTATGTATGAATGTTCATCATTGTGTGTTATTTTTTTCGAAGCAGAGGTGAAAGACATAAAAGTGAAGTATGGGGAAAAAAACTGTTTGCACTAAACAGAAGAAGTAAAACACACATAAAAAGGAATAGGTGTGAAACACAAATGCGCAAAAGTAAAAAATGGAGAGCATAAATGCATAAGAGCGAGGGAACTTGAAACGAATGTGATGGGCAGTAGTTTAAAGGAACACTCCTACCACATAACATTTCAATTACGTTATTACTAGGGCAGGAATATCCAGGTGCTCTCTTTTCAAAGGTTTACCGCCAAAATTGGTCTTCTGAGGTCTGACAATGATGCCCTCCATATTTCTTTCTTTCTGCTGCCACAGTGTGGGGAAAGTTTTGCGGGGTGGCCATTGACAACAAGATGTTCTCAGTTGATGTTTTCAGGCTATCACGTTGAGAAAAAGTCAGCTGTGTAAGGTTCTGGAGGACCGACTTCAGGTAAACCGTTGGAAAACAGGTAAGACTGTGCCTGGAGACTTCTGCCCCTATAACAACTTCAATTACATTGTTATGATGGTGAGAGTTTCCTTTAGCTTAAGGGGTGGACATAGGTACGTACGGTGCTTGTTGTGTAAGTATATAATGCACCGGTGTTAACAGGTGGTGCTGCATCTGAGGGTTCTGTACTGGTGCTAGAACATGTGCCATTAGACAGAGGGTTTATTTATGAGGTAGTCACCTTTTTACTTACCTGTCCGAGATTCCCACACACTCTCTCCCCCTCGTTAGAACTCAACTTTATCTGCTGTCTATTTCTTGTATTCAACCATGATTTTTGGGGGGGAACAAGGGATTTAAAAATTCGAGATTTGTCTGCAAAAGAAGACAAAGTGCGTGTTTTTTTCATCCATCTTTTCTAGCGAAGAAAGCGTGGTCGAGGCGGTTTAAGAGCGGAGGGGAGTGGGTGAGGAGCGACACGGATTCCTTAAAACAAAATTCAGTACGTGGCATAACTATTTAATTACACAGAATAATTCAGTCACATTTCACTTAAAACTAAACATGGAAATTAAACAACCTAGTTAATTTTCAAGGTCCATTCACTCTTAATTTGATTTACATATATTATTAGATTTTTACATTTAGAAACATTTTAAACATTCAGTTATGATTTCTTGGATCATATTTTACAGTATTGTATTAACTGCAGATGTCCAAATGGACTTTGGCATCTAAAGTGGGTCTGTCATGTTACGTCATTATTTTGTTAGTAATAGAGCTTTAAAAAGTGTCTGTATTAAAGTAGGACTGTCAAATGTAGGGGTTTATCCACTAAACACGGAATTGAAGACAGAATTAACAGAGTAGGAGAAATTCTAAATTAAACAGAATTTGTAATAAAGGAAGTGTAAATATTATATGACACTTTACAGGAAGTGTTTAGGAAGGCTGTGTAACTCACATGCAAGGAGGTGTGACTAGGACTGCATAAACAAAGCGATTTAACTCCTATATGGCACAGAACTGAGCAAGGGCATGACCTATACACAAAATCTGACTTATTATGCTAAAGTTAATTTGGTGACTATAGTGCACCTTTAATAATTAACTATGAAAGTGTTGTTTCCAAATGAGCACTTTTCTGCATCGATTTAATAATTTGGCTTACAATTACCTAGAATAGAGCATTAGTGAATAAACTCCTATGGTTTTTGCACAGCCCAGTAACAAACTTAAAAGGAACACTCCACACTCATAAAGTGCTTCAGCTTGTTGAAGTGCTTTTTGTGCCCGGAGTCTGGTACATTTGTGACAGTTTATAAACAGGCTGATTTCAACAAAAATCAACACTTTTATAATTGTGTGCAAAAATACCTCCCCACCTATCAGTCAGAAAGCCAGGAAATGTTTCCTTTAACTTCCATTAGCTCGACAGAGCTAACTGAAGTGGCAAACGAACTGTAGTGTATTACAGCTCATTAAAAAAGCACTGGATCACGTTTGAACAAACCCAAAGCACCAGCATGGGGAAAAAAGGAGACCTTGCAAAGGCTGCAGACAAGAAGTCTGCTACTTTTGGAATCTGTTTTTGGATATACACCAATAAAAAAAAAGCATATATAAATGCATGCATGTTTTAGTTTGGAGTATTCAAGATCTTGATAAAAGGGTCCGAAACATTGGTCATGAATGTATTACTTATGTGAAATGTTGAATAAAAGAAGATTTTTGCTGGTTTAAGAAGTCCTAAGAGTGCTCCAGTTTTTCAGATTGAATATTATAAATAGCGTTGGAGGTACTAAGGCACTTGAAGTTTTAATGTAGAGTGCCAGTGTTTGTCATATTTAGAATATGTTTATCTATATAGACATACAACATATGCAAGACTATCAGGGCACAATCTGACATACTTTAAAAGTTCTGTTTTAAAACTTATTAACGCATCTTTATAGAGGTACAACTATCACACCACTAAAGAAAAGGCCAAAATATGTACGTGACATAATCTCCTACCTCCCAACCCTTCCCTCTCTCTCTTCTGTACCCTTACCCTGCAAGTTAACGCCCACAATACCTTCAACATAAAGCACCTAGGAAAAACAGAGACAATGGTACGAAAAGCAAAGTACTACAGCTAGCACAGCTACCTTTTCCCCCCCAATTTTTTTCTGTACCCCCACCCCACAAACCAAAACCTCTGAACTTGGTTACGAACACTCATTTTTATAGACTCACTGGTGTGAAAATTGTATGATATGCAATGTATACGAAACTGCACCTCTATCCACTCCCTCTTCTTTTCTGTACCCCACTCCACTCCACCCCCCCAAAATAAAAGACAAAACTCTGATATAAATAAAGAATTTATATAATAAAAAAAAATAAAACTTATTAACGCGAAGCCTAGACAGTTATTTATGCTCTAGTCAGTAATGAGCTATGCCACATTTACTTAAAGGGACACTCCTGGCATTCATGCATATTACAGCTTATCCTATTTGGCGTACAAGCTAAATTCTGCAGGTATACTCTACACAATTGAGCGCCTCAAACTTCCATCCCCTAACAGTAAACAGGCTGCTGAAGACAATTGCAAACACCACAATATATGCACACACAGTCCAGGAGTAAGCGCTTGCATGTAAGACAATGTAAGTAGCCATGAAAGTGCTGTTTACATGACACTAAGCCAAGCTGCAGCCAAGCCTACGACTATAGCTGAGTTGGAATATGTTTCCAGAGCAGCAAATTTAGGCAATAATTTAAAATGTGGATTTAATTTGCTAAAATGTGATGAATAAAGGGACACAATAGTCACCCAAACAACTTTCGGTTAATGAAGCAGTTTTTGTGTATAGATCATGCCTCAATTCTCTGCCTTTTAAAAGTGAAATCACTTTTGTTTCTGTTTATGCAGCCCTAGCCACACCTCCCATGGCTGTGACGGACAAAGCCTGCATAAAAAATTGTTTCATTTTCAATCAGATGAAACTTACCTTAAAAGTTTGTATCTCCTGCTCTGTAAATTGAACTTTAATTACATACAGGAGGCGTCTCTAGGGTCTAGCAAGCTATTAACAGAGTAGGAGATGAAAAATTCTAAATGAAAAAGAATTTGTAATAAGTGTAAACATTATATGACACTTCTGAGGAAGTGTTTAGGAAGGCTATGCAAGCCACATGCAGGGAGGTGTGACTAGGGCTGTTTAACCAAAGTGATTTTACTCCTAAATGGCAGACAATTGTCCAGTGAGGCTACAAGGACATGATCTGTACACCAAAATGGCATCATTCAGCTAAAGTTGTTTTGGTGACTATAGTGTTATATTAACAATTAACTCTGAAAGTGTTTTCTATAGTACATTGCATATGAATGTGTGAGGTCCATGTCTCAAGCACACATGCACACTACTATTCCCATACATTTGTATAGAAGAAATACTGCTGGTTGATATTCTCCAGCTATTTCTCTGTTGCAGCCAGAGATATAAATGCCTCTTGGATTGTCCCTTTAATTTAATACTCAAATTTACCATTTACAAAGTCCTCTCTGCTTGCCAGTCTGGCAGTATAATGGGCAATGAGTGTAAGTATACAATTCTTAATATAGAACTTGGAAGTAGGATCCTCTTACAAGCTCCATGTTACGTTTGAGAAAGAGACCGTTGCTAAGGTTACATTTTTGATGACAGGTCCACTTTAGTTGCTGAAAATCTGAACAGAACTCAGATTTTATAGATGTCAGATCTATCTTTTGACAACAATGCAGTAATGTAGGACAAATTACTTTGTAATACCATTTTTTTTCTCAGTGATCTCAGGATAGTTAGCCGATTAGTGGCCTCCAGGTCAAACCTCTTAATTCTCCAGACAAGGAGGTTCTTTCCCTCTTCCATTTTTGCCAAAGATCATCTCAAGGTCACTGAGCCACCAATATTTCTAAGTTATACCCATTTCTGAGGAGGAGATGTATCTCTTTTTAAAAAAAAAATAAAGATTCAATCTGGATTAGTAAGAGTGAACAGCCTTTGTTTTCTATAGTCACAGGCAAAAGAAGGGAGGAAAAAATGGTTAAGGGAAAAAAATGGCAGAAAAAGTTCAACAGAGACCGGTTGTAACGTCATTTTCAAACTAGGTAACGCCATGGAAAAATGCAAATGCATTTACGGGTGTCTTCCAGAATTACAACTTTATTGCATCTTATCGCCCCAGTCCTGCGATTTGCGATAAATTATTGTCCAAGGGAAAGGGAAAAAGGGGTGAGAAGGGGATAGGAGACACTGTACATGATTCGTAGACGGAGTATAGCAGACTTTTTTCGGCACATGGGAAACAGGGTTCGTTAGTTTGTAGGTTTGACGTGGTAAATCAGGGTATGTCTTAATAGAAAATGAATCTGAAAAAGGCATGCAGGGTATACACAGAAGTAAATGCTGGATATTATGCAACAAATCAGCATGATCTTTTTCTACTACAAAAACACCTTACATTTCTACCCCACATCCTTTTTGCTTTGCTGAGCTTTTACAGTTTATAATTCATCAACACCTTACTATGACTGTAAATTATTTATAAATCCTTATCTAGCTAGGCACATTCCTCAAATTGTCAAAATGTATTATCTTGTGCGAAGTCTGCACATCAAAAAGACAGCCTATAATGTACATATTTCAAAAATGACAAAATAAAGAGAAACTTGGTGCCATAAATCTGTGTTATATCCTTTTTTGACGTGCAGGCTTCTGTTTGTTTATGGAGTTAGCATTGCATTTTTGTTGCAACATAGAGGCTATTTTCTAGTGTGTCTTCCACAAAAAATATGGCTGGTAATAGCCTCAGACATGTAAACAAATGTATCCTATACATTGTGCTGGTGAAAGAGCCAGAGAATGTATAGATCATCAGACATACTTACTTACCTGAAAATCACACTTCCCTCATCCTAATGACATGTTCTGCATCCCATAAACCAGCCATGTTTCTAGTTTTTTCCTAAAAAGTCAACAGCTGCCAGAGGTAGGCAGCCATCGATACTCGTGGACTACATCTCCCATAATGCTATTACAACCATAATGCTGGCAAAGCATCAAGGGAGATGTAGTCCACAACATCTGGAGTGCTGAAAGCTTGCTTACCCCTGAGCTATGCAAAGAAACTGTGCAGGTGAGTGATTTACCTAAAATAACTCTTTATCTATACATTTGCTATCTAGTTAACTGGCACAATGTATACATAAAAGTAGGGGCACTACGAAACAGTACTATGTCATATTTGTCATGACAGAGCCTATTTAAACTATAAAAATAATTTACCTTTCTCTGTCTGAACAATCATATAATGCCAGTAAATAAATAATACTATTCTGTTTTTGTCTTTATAATGCTTGTGTTGACTATTTCCTATATATTATGTCTAACTATAAGTTATCCACCCAAATTATTACACCTGCTTTAATTATATTACATTCTTATGGCCTTTAAAAAAAGCTTGTTTTTTTTTTTGTCCATGTTCAGACTTGTTTGCCAAAAGTGGTGCTTTTATTGGCATGCAAGTATTGCAACTTAACTAAATAAGAAGACCATTTCAATCTAGACTGTAAGCTTGTTTGAGTAGGGCCCTCATCTGCCTATTTGTTCCTGTGTCACTGTGTAATTGTCCCCTTTCATAATATTGTAAAGCGCTGCAAAATTAGTTGTCGCTATATAAATATTAATAATAATAATAATAATAATACATTACATTTGGTCATTATTCCTACACTAGTTTTAAACTCTTTTCTTTTATGGGCAAACTTAAGGGGCACTACCATAAAAATGTTATATTATTTTTTTCTGTTTAAATTATATTCCCGCTTGTATTTACCCGCAAATCAGTCGTGTGAGCAGTGTCAGTATACATGTTAGCAAAATTATAGTTTTGTGATGTATTAACCAGGGAATTTAGACCAAAAAATAAATAAAAATCTCAGCTATTTTTCCAGCTTTGCTGTTTTTTCTCTGAGCAGTTCCTAAAATTAATTTTCTGTGTGGTGTGAATAACCCAGCATAAATGAGCAACTAAATATGACATCTATATTAATCTAAAGTGTATATTACTGAATTATATCAAATGTACGATTCATCTCAGATATTATTGTCTTGTTGTAGTTACCATCATAAACTTCTAGACAAACATCTCATACATGGTTTTATAACTCTGATAATATATTCAGTATGGCTATTCTCAGAGCCAAATAAACAATGGTTTTCCATTTCCTTAATTTTTTTAATTGTTACGATCTTATATTTTCATTATGGGGACATTATCTTTGCTCCGTGTTCCAATGACCCGCAAGCAAGATAATCAGTTTAAACAGTATGGTATGCCTATAGATTTTTAAGGCAGCACCAACTGTATCCTCCCCTTTGCTACTTTCTTTTGTATTCACTGAGGTCTAGTACATTCAGTTTACTAATGAAAATTACTTCCATACTGTTGCAGACTCTATGCAGAGAAAACAAACAAGCCAAGTGTAAAAGGAAATTGTGGGCTCCTTGTGTCAAAAATCAGTGAGGCTTAATAGGTTTGGCTGTACTGGCCTGCATACCCGTTAGCGTATTTCTCGTAGTACTCTGCGGGGCTGTATGCCGCTGCTCCCATGCTATATTGAGAGAAAGCAGAGGCGTAGGCTTGGCTGTAGGTCTGACTATAGGCTTGGGATGCTCCATATGGATCAGCATATTGTGCCATAACTGCAGCCGCTGCTGCTGCTGTTCTCCTCCCAACGGGGCTTCTGTCCCTATATGCTGCAGGAGCCAGGGCTGCGCTAAGAGATGCTGGAGTTGGCGGTGCAGGAGCTACGGGGGCAGTGGGTAGAGCTGCTGCGGCAGCAGCCATAACAGCAGCAGGAGCTAAGGCCCTGTCATATGCAGCACGAGCTCCAAGTGTACTCCTATCATAGAAGTCATAAGTATATCTCTCATAGTATTCCCTCTCATACCAAGAACGTGGTGCATAGGGCGAGAAAGGGGTTGGAGGTGGTGGTAGTCGTCCACGATGGAAGTAATAAGCAGGAGGTGGTGGAGGGGGTGGCGGAGGAGGGGCAGGTGACGAAGCAGCCACTATTGCTGATGCCATTTTGGAACTCTTGGGAGCATTGTTGCTTTTGGAAAGTGTGACAAATATTTTCTGGTCCGCAAGAGGAGTGTCGTTAAGGTGCAAAATGGCATCCATGGCTTCCCTCTCTTTTGCCATGTGTACAAAGGCATAGTTTTTGACAATGTCACATTCAACCACCTTGCCGAACTTTTCAAACAGCTCCTTTACTTGGGAGGTAGTGGCACGGCTTGAGACATTTCCAACATATATTTTTGTAGCATTGCGTATCTTTGACGTAGCATATTCCACTGTGAGGTGGGAGCCATAGAATTCCTGTTTGTGCAGCTCGCCTATGGCACGGTGGGCATCTTGCTCCCGTTCCATGTGGACAAAGGCATAGTTTTTGAGGATGTCACATTCATTTACCTGCCCATACCTTTCAAAGAGTTTCTTTAGTTCCTCTGGTGAAGCTGACGGTGACACTCCACCAACAAAAATCTTCACCATGATGTAGGAATACAATTTTGGGAATTTTCGATGGTGTGTTCTCCTATATATAGAAAAAAACACAAATTAGCAAACCTATTTATTGTTGCCGAATTATCTAGGGTGAAAATAGGACTTAACCCCATCAAGTTCAATCTTTACATTTGTTCTGTTGTTGATCCAAATTACAACAAAAACCCAGACTGAAGGGATTTCAAATAATACCAGAAAAAAAGTGAAAAATATTTCTTGATTAGATATGAAGATCATACTTCTTCTTGGATCAACAAACTGTTACCACACAAACTATAAAGGAATACTCCAATAAATGTAACCACGTCTGTTCACTGTAGTGGTTATAGTGTCTTCAGTTGGTTTAATATCAAAACATTTAAGAACAGTGATGTCCAGAATCTGAGGGACTGCCCACATTTTGGTTGTGTAAATAACCCAAACCCAGAACCCAGCCAATTAATGTCAACCAGTCTGGACAAAGTTGACACTTATAATGTGGAAGTTTAAAATTCTCCATTCTCAGTGCACTTATTTTTCAGTGTGGTCCCTCGGTACACGGAAAAGTGTAGGTTTTTTTTTTTTTTTTATCAAACTGTTCTAAAAGAGTTACTCCAAGCACCAATACTACTTCATTGATAGTGTCTTAAGTCTATATGCGCAGTATTTTACTTGCAAACGCTACTTATACAGAGATTAATGGAACACTATAGTCATCTAAACAACTTTAGCTTAATAAAGCAATTTTAGTGTATACATCATGCCTCTCAGGTTTCACTGCTCAATTCACTGCCATTTAGGAGTTAAATCACTTTGTTTCTGTTTATGCAGCCCTTGCCACACATCCCCTGTCTGATTGACACAGCCTGCATGAAAAAAATTGGTTTCACTTTCAATCAGAGGTAATTTACCTTAAACAATTGTATCTCTTGCTCTGTAAATTGAACTTTAATCACATACAGGAGACTCTTGCAAGGTCTAGCAAGCTATTAATATAGCAGGGTATAAGAAAATCTAAATTAAACAGAACTTGCAATAAATAAAGGATAAAGTTTAGATGACTCTTTACAGGAAGTGTTTAGGAAGTCTGTGCAAGTCACACGCAGAGAGGTGTGACTTGGGTTAATAAACAAAGTGATTTAACTCCTAAATGGAAGAGAATTGAGCATTGAGACTGCAGAGGCATGATCTATACACCAAAACTGTTTCATTAAGCTAAAGTTGTTTTGGTGACTATAGTGTCCCTTTAACTCTTTAGCTGCCATAGTTGTAACTCCACCTCTGGCAGCATCATTAGCCAGTCCAGAACAAAATTCTGGGATGGCTAATGACAATTCTGTGCAAAATTAGCATCTGACACCAGCACAAAGAGATGACCACTAGAGGCTCTTCCTAGTTCAGTGCTGCACTTTGTGCAGAACCTATGTTTAGCGTCTCCACGCAGAGCTGAAAACTCCCCATAAAGGTGCATTGTTTCAATGCATTTCTATGAGGAGATGTTGATTGGCTAAGCGTGGCATTTTGCTGTGCATGTGCAATAGCCTCCCAGTGCTTTCCTATGGGAAAGCATTAGATTGGCTGAGATCGTCAAGACTGATGATCTCAGTCATGGAGTCGGGGATAGCCACGGCGAGACTGGTGGGGAGATGGAGAAAAGGTAAGTAAAATATATTTAAACTCCTAACTGAGGGGGGCCGGACACCTAAGTTGGTACTTTAGCACTACAGTGTAAGAAATACATGTTTGTATGCCTAATACTACAGTGTTCCTTTAAGACAACACTTTCCTTTGCTGTGGGTGAAATATGTATAATGCACTGATATTCTCTATGAGACACTTTCTTTCTAAACTAAACAAATTACATTTTTTTAGGAATCCTTCATAATTATGTACAGTTTCCTTATTAATTCTGCGGCCCACTTCTGCACCTTTTCCAGACCCATAATATCCTTTTTTATTTTTTTTTTTTTTTATTTTTTTTTTTAACTGGGGCGCAAAATTGCAACACATTTTACAAGGTAATGGTTTTACCATTGACTTTTTAAGAGTCAGAATTATATTTTCACCACAGGAGTCAGTACCCCCTTTTTATGCATTACAGTACATTACTGGCCTTTGCAACTGCTGACTGACATTGCACATTGTTGCCTGGTGTTTTATATAAACATTCACATTCAAGTTCTCCCTTCTGAAGTTTGTATTGTAAGTACGTGTTGGTAAAAAAAAAAAAAAATTGTTCAGCCATTATCATATTATTTGATGAATATGAGTTAGCTGAGTTTTTAATAAATGTTTTTCTTTTATTAAGAAAGAAACTATGTTTGCTGGTTCTCCATACACGACTGCCTAACTTTATAATTACCTATACTAAATGTCATCTGACACAGTCAGTCATATTTTTGAATAGTCTTTCTAAAAGAAGTAGAATCCTGTTTAGACTGTAACAACTTAATGTGTGTGTCATCTACAATATATAAAATATGCATAATAATAATAATTGTGGAAGGCACAATGCTGAAAAATATTGATCACATATTATTCCAATTTGTAATTCTTAACCATTACCTCATTCTATTGATTAACACTGATATTATTCATAGAAATCATAAGTATGCCTCTCCTATTATTAGATATCATACCAAGAACAAGGTGTGTGTGTGTGTGAGAGGGGGGTAAGGTTGGGGGGGCGGGAGAATTTACCATGTTGTAATAATGAGGAAGCAATAAAAGGCAGTTATGATATATAATATGACAGTTATGAAATGACAGCATATAAAACAGAAATATATTTATCCCTAAATATAAGTATTATTTTACATGGGAACCAATTTGATTGTTATAGATATCTGTACAGAGTTCTAATATAAGACCATTAACAATAGCCCTTTTTTAAAATGGGTGTAGCATTGTAGCATCACATAGTGTCAGAATAAAATACCAAGTGTCTTGAAATACAGGCAAGTGACTAAAGATCATATTTAAAACATTATACTTTCAGTGACTTAATTAAAATATGGAAACATTGTATGTTTAAAATCCGAATACATTACATCCCTAGTTTTTTTTCCAATCACCTGTTTTAAACACCTTCCAATCTCTCTCTATTCTATTTCTTCTTCTGTAAGGTGTTATTCTCTCTTTTTTTTTTTTTTGCCTGTTGATCACACGCCTTTCTCCAAAATGCTATATTTACATATAAATCTCGTTTCTGTCACCCTTCTTCTTAAGCATCCAATTATCCTTGCACCCCTATTTTTATACCGCCCTCCCATCCTCTCCCAAGCCTCTAATCATTGTTTCAGCTGACTCCCTCATCCGCGCCCTTCTTTGTCCACACTATGTTACTACACCTTTGGTTGAAACCATCATTATCCCCCATTTACCATCCAGACCCTTTATCCATCTTTCCGAGTTCACGCCTGTGCCCATAAATGCTGTAACATTTCTTTGTCAACCTTTTTATTTTACATTTTACCTTCACTGGTATTCATTTTGTATTACAATCTTTCTCCAATCGCGGATAACATTGTTTCCTTTTTTATTAGCATTTTGATCTCCCTCGACTTTCTCTCCCGCTCACCCGATTTTTATCCCCTTCTCTCCCCACTTACATTCACGGCTTGCAGTGTTTAGAATCCGACACACTAAAGATGGCCGTCCGGGTTCGTCGCACGCCGACAACGCTACGTCTCCCTGACAACGGCCACCCAATCACAGCTCGGTGGTACCCAAGTTAACAGGAGTTGCTAGACGTTCCCTGAGATGCTTCCAGTGTTCTATTTCTACTCGTTCTTTGATGATAACAAAGTAGCAGCACGGAGTATGGAATGCAAGCAGTTCATTCCATGCATTTACAATATGGAATACAGATTCTCCATCATTAACATTGCAGGTGTTGTGAAAAAAAAGTCCCATGGCCCAGACTTTGACTGGCTGAGGGTGATAAGAAAAGTAGTCCACATAAGTGATATATGTATATAATAGTCTCAAAACATCAAAACAGAACAACACATTTGTAAATGTGATATTTTATTTAAAATATATATTATTTAGAAAAAGAAACGTTAGACAGATGCATAATATGATATCAGCAGGAGTCTTTATAGCCAACAGCAGTGTAATACAAAAATCCCCAGGAGTGTAACGCAATCATTGTTTATAGTAATGAATAGTGCATAAGAAATAGCACTATAATTAATCTTACATAAAAAGTCCAATTCTGAAGTCATCAAGCTTTTGTTGAATCTCAAGTCATCCTCTGAGTTGAAGGATGTGCTTGGAGAGCTGGAGAACCTGACACTTCACAAATATTTAAACACTAACACATCATGAGCAATAGTGGTAAAAATGTTTGGGCGGCAAAGATACACTAATCTCCAGGAAAGAATGTGGTATATTTTATATGTTTGCTTTGACACTGAGATTTCTTTAGATAAAAATAAGAATTCGATTTTTTTTTAAATAACTTGGGATGAAATTGCAATTTAATTAAAAAATTGCTGTGTAGGTATATCAAAAAAACTAATTTATACAAATGTGCAGTATTAGATTTTTTTTCCATTTATTAGTTCACCCTTTGCAGAAATATTTTGGGTAAGGAGCATGGGAGAGCTGGCAACTTTTGGCCTTAGAGCAAGTAAATATTAGTGGCTTTCTTTAGGCAAATCTCACAGATCTCTGCTGGAATGGTCCTCTACCATGGCAAAGCCTGCAACATATGGTTTGTCTGATGGAGGCTGCTGAAGCTGTGCAGTGTACCTTCATTTGTCCCAGCAACCTAAATCAATATCACCTGCAGAGTATGAGGAAATTTCAAATAAATCTGTGTCACATACTCTGTTGCCCACAGGTCCACTACCACCAATGATGACCTGCATGTTGATTTCTTGAGCATTAATTAATCCAGTGGAGGCTGGTCCAATGGGGCGATTAATAATGTGTTGGACCTCTAACTTCACTGTTATTAACTTGCATTTAAATGGATTCTCCATTGCCAGGAAAACAGATTTGTTTTCCTGGCACTGCAGGACCCTGTAGTGCCCCTTTCCCTCCGACCCCCCACCCCAAATTGCTGAAGGGGTTAAAACCTCTTCAGTGACTTACCGGAGTCCAGCGCCGATGTCCCTCGGCGCTGGTCAGGCTACTCTCTGCCTACTCTCCTCCCCCGCCGACGTCAGCCGGTGGGGGAGACCTAATGCGCATGCACGGCAATGGCCGCGCATTAGACCTCCCCATTGGAAAGCATTATTCAATGCATTCCTATGAGGATTTCAGTGACGCTGGAGGTCCTCACATAGCGTTTGTTAGCGTTTTTGTGTTGTAGCGTTTTTGCGTTTTAAGAAGGCGGAAGTCTTCTGCAAGGTAAATATTGCAGTTTATGATAACTGCAATAATTACACTTGCAGGGTTAAGGGTTGTGGGAGTTGGCACCCAGACCACTCCAAGGGGCAGAAGTGGTCTGGGTGCAGTGGCGTACATACTGGGGTCACAGGGGTCGTGGCTGCGACCAGGCCCAGCCTACCAGGGGGCCCGGCCGCCCTGCGACCCGGTATGTACCCACTGTGGCCAGCCTCCTCTCCTGGGGGGTCCAGGAGCAGGCCACCTCAGGGCCCCTGAGGCTGGCCCTGGTGTCACCTGGCGGGCAGGCTGGTGGGAGCAAGGGAGCACTGTCCCCTGAGTTCTCCCTCTTCAGCTCCCTCGCGCACCGCACTGATGCCGGAGCCGGAAGATGACGTCATATGTGTTAGTGTGTTAGTGTGTGTGTTAGAGTGTGTGTGTGTTAGTGTTAGAGTGTGTGTGTTAGTGATAGAGTGTGTGTATGTTAGTGTGAGTGTTAGAGTGTGTGTGTGTGTGTGTGTGAGTGTTAGTGTGTGTGTGTTAGAGTGTGTGTGTGTGTTAGTGTTAGAGTGTGTGTGTGTGTGTGTGTTAGTGTTAGAGTGTGTGTGTTAGTGTTAGAGTGTGTGTTAGAGTTTGTGTGTGTTAGTGTTAGAGTGTGTGTGTGTTAGTGTTAGTGTGTGTGTGTTAGAGTGTGTGTTAGTGTTAGAGTGTGTGTGTGTTAGAGTGTGTGTGTTAGTGTTAGAGTTTGTGTTAGTGTGTGTGTCTTCAGCACTTACCTTTCTCCAGCGCTGGACTCCCTTGGCGCTGGGGATCTCTCCGCCCCGATCCGCCTCTCAGCTCCGAGTGAGAATCGCAGAAACTCCTCTAGCGGCTGTCAACTAGAGGGACCTGGCACCCAGACCACTTCATTGAGCTGATGTGATCTGGGTGTCTGTAGTGGTCCTTTAAGTGTATGTGTATCTGCATGCACTGGTGTACATACCGCGGTCGCAGGGGTCGCAGCCCTGCGACCCCTGCAACCAGGTGCCCACCGTCATGTGTTGCGGCCCCGGCCCGTGCAGAGTCAGCACGGGGGGGGCATGGTTCAGTTTTCGCACCGAGGCCCCATGGGTTGTGTGTACGCCACTGTCTGGGTGCCTGGAGTATCCCCTTAAATGTGCATTTTTTCCATTGGGGATATATCTAAAAACAACTAGCAAAAGCTAGAGATCTCTTGTCTGCAGCCTTTGAAACACCTCCCATTTAACTCTCACTCAGACTTTCTGTGGCTGTCCAATCACAGACGTCCCAGTGCAGCTCAATTACAAGTCTTTGCAAGTCAGGTTCCCTTGTCTATTGCTGCCTGCTCCACTGAGCTAAACAAACCGGGAAGTAACAGGATCAATGTTTCTGTCATTTTTTATTTTTACAAATTTATACCAGATTTTATCCTTTCAATTCCACCTTATGTATCTATTATTTGCATATTGTTTAGAGGTGGTTTAGGGGATACCACTCAAGGTGTTTGAGCTCTCATTTTAATTACTTCTAATTGTGCACTTTTAGTGATGTCCCGAACGGTTCGTCGAACAGTTCGTCGAACGGTTCGTCGAACGGTTCGCGAACGGTTCGCCACGGACAGCATTCATTTTACATTCATTGTGAAGCTGCATTCTTAGTGAGCTGTCCAGGAGGTGGGAGGGTCTGGGAGGGAGGGTCTGCTGCTGATTGGCTGGAATGTGTCTGCTGACTGTGAGGTACAGGGTCAAAGTTTACTCAATGATGAGTCCGCGGCGAACCGTTCGCGATCCGTTCGGGACATCACTATGCACTTTTTGTAATATTGTATATATTCTTTATCCTCTATCACAATTTCAAGAGTAATTTAAAAGACATGGCTTTTCTGGAAAGTAGAGCATAAACAGTCAGTAATATTGATCATATGTTTGACACGGCAGCAAAATCACAAAATAACTGATTATATTAACCATGAAAACTGTAGGAATCATCTATAAAAAAGCCTTAATTAAGGAAATGAAAATGAAATGGGAAGTAGCCACTCTCAAAAAGTATGTAAGTGAACAATTTACCCCAAGATGCTTGAGTTTTTTTTAAAACCCTACTTTTGACAGAGACAATTCAGGATGGCCTTTCCTTCAGCATGATGGAATACATTGTATCCAGGAGAGAAGAAAACCTCATACAACTAGATGAGGAAATTAAAACTTGGAAAGAAAAACTTTCCATACATGATAGGAAGTCCCTCTGGTGGCCGTCTCAGTGACGGCCACTGGAGGTATTCCTATCAATCAATGTAAACACTGTATTTTCTCTGAAAATACAGTGTTTACATTAGATTGCCTGCAGGGAGCTATGGATCATACCTGAACAACTACATTAAGCTGTAGTTGTTCAGGTGACTATAGTGTCCCTTTAATGAAACCACTAGCCTTGAAATGTATAATCAGTTAATAAAAGAAATTAAAAGCAAAATTGAAAAAGCCTAAAAGAGAAACTATCGAAATAAAAAAGAGGAAATACTTGAGAGTCACTAACGACTTCAAAACAGGAAATGTAAACACACACACAAAAAAATAAGTTAGGAAACAAAATACTAACACTAGAAAAGATGTAAAACAATATAGAAGAGAATGACACAATACTCGAACCAAAGGTGACCAAAGGGACACCAATATAAGATGTCGTAGGAGCCAAGCCCCTAGCCTAAGGATAGATAGACATAACTATAGTCAGAGGGACATACATGTAAGAAGGCAAAGGACCCCTAACCCAAGGAGACATAAACATGTCACATCATATAACTCGCGACACAACTTTTCAAAAAATCTAAAAAGTTAGAGGAATATATCAAAAAAGGCATAGAGAAAGAGATCTTAACCGAAAGTGAAGGGAAGTACCTCTCCACCCCCCAAGAATGCTGGTCTTCTACCACCTTCCCAAGGTGTGAAAAAATAAGGAAAAACCTCCAGGAAGACCTATTATATCAGGTATAAACTCAATTTCAGCAAAGGTCTCTGAATCTCTGGATAATTTACTTCAACCAATAGTAGTCAAAAATCCATCCTATGTTACATCTATCTATAGCATAATACCCCATGAAATAGGCTGAAAGCGATTGAACACTTTTTAACTAGATCTGGTTTTTAAAAGGAGAAAATTGAGTACATCTTGGAAGGGATTAATTTGATTTTAACCAACAATTTCTTTTGGTTCCAAAATACACTTTACCTTCAAATCCGTGGAACGTTGATGGGCACCAAATTTGCTCCCAGTTATGCCAATATGTTTA